AAAACCGCTTGACATAGTTTCATTCCTCTTTTAAAACAGTAGCACTATTTATGTGTATTTTTTAAACTTTGGAAAATATAAATAAAATTTAAATGCTTTTAGATCAGCACTAATATTGTTGTAGAAAGCCAGTTCTATTAACATTTTACTATAGTTCTCTTATTTGTATTTTATTTTGTATTGTATATTCTTTACATAACTTTTTTTAACACAGAACATTAATATGACACTTTTTTGTTATATGGGCTTCCCAGATATTCTGTAGAAGGCATAGGATTCTTTGTATGAATATTTAAATCCTATTCCTATGAGATTTAGGTTTCTTACAGTTTTCCACTTACATATTATTCTGCCAGATCTTTATGGAAAGCATCTCCTTTTTCTTTTCTTTTCTTTTTTTTTTTTTTTTTTTAATGATGCCTTCAAAGCATATTCTCAGAAGTGGAACTGCTGAGTTGAAGAATATGAAAATCTAAAAACTCTTGGCATTTACATCAAATCTCTGTGTGAGGTTCTCAAAGTCCCGTGCCCAGAACAATCTCTATTTAAAAATGGCCAAATATGATGAATAAAGAAGCTACCTCTTGCCATGTGTGTGTTAATCAACTCTGTCTCTTTTTGCAAATATCCTTCATCCAAAATATATTGAAATCTTGGGCTGGAGAAAAATCTTCCTAATCAAATTTTCTTTTGCTGTCATTTTGCAGCTAAAGAAACCCTCCCGGATTTGGTGTCCATAATTCCCGACGCGGTCCCGACGACGGACCTGCTCGTGGAGACGACAGCATCGGCCTGTTACACGCTCAACAACATAACCCAGAACAGCTACCAGCACGCGCGGGACCTCCTGAGCACGGGCGGCCTCCGCAGGGTCATGGCCATCAGCGCGGGGGACGCGTAAGTCTGGGCCTCTGCGCCGCCTCGCCCCCTCCCTGCCGGAGGAGCCCGCTCTGTCTCCCAGGTCGCTCTGTCACATCTTACACCTTCTCTTCCCTTTCGAAGGCAGATGGAGTGCACACCCCTGTCTCTGGGTGCGCTCACGCCATTACTATTGGGGGAGGGATGGGAGGAGGGAGGCATGAAGAGAATGTTCATTCTTTATGATTCAGAATTGATTGATTTGTTACAAATATTTTTTTCCTTGGTGCTGAGAAGTGAGCGCAGCGTACTCGGCAAGCACTCTAGGCTGAGCTGCATCCTCAGCCCTACATGGCACCTTTGTAAAACCGTCATCCCTCAGTTCGATCGATCAATCAATCGATCTATCTATCTATTATCTATCTATCTTTTAGGGAAGGGTCTACAGGGTGTTCAGGGTCTCACTACTAGATCGGACTCGTAGTGATCCGCTTGTTTACAGCCTCCCAACAGCTGGGATTACAGACGCACGCCACCACGCCCAGTCTCGACTCTCAGCACGCCCCCGGGGGCGGGGCCAGCACAGCAGGCCTGGGGGTGCCCCCCAGTTCTAATGAGTTACGGAGCAGGTGGGCCTCGCCTGTCGTGCAAGATGGCAGTGGGCGCAGGGGTGCAGTCAGAGCTCTAGACATCCCACAGGGATCACACCCTGCTCCACCCCCACCCCACGGCTTTGGGCCCTGGCTACTCTGTATCTCTCTCCAGCAAAGCTCCTGAGGCAGGAGGACGCAGACCATGAAAATGAGCCTGGTGCCCCAGTCAGGGCATTGACCAGGAAGCGAGAAGCATGCTCCCTGCAGCTGGAGAGAGCAGCTGCTCAGTCTCAAAACAGAAATGCCCGTTAATGACCCTTCCAGGTAGCCATCCCATCTCTAAGCAGCCCATCACACGGTTAAGGTAGAATGACTGGAGCTATTTAGTCAGATGCAATAACTGTTGCCCAGGGAAGTATATTTACTTTTGGAAGCTTCTTATACCTTAGCAAGATAGGGGGGTATGCTAGCCCGTAACTTGTATGTCATCCCAAATGTCCTCCCATGCTGTCCCAAGGGAAGAAAACAAAATACACAAAAGGGTGCATATTGTTCCCTACCAGAGTGTTGAATCTCCAACCTGTCATTTATGGACTAGCCTGGAAATTATCATGTACAACCTTGTATCCTTGGACAAACAAGTTCTGGGTACTGACAACCAATTTATAAACAAATTTCATGAGTATATTATTATCCTTGCAGTTTAAAAACTTTTTATACCTTTGCCAGGTGTGGTCCCACATGCCTGCAATCCCAGCACTGGTGAGCCTGAGGTAGGAGGATCACAATGAGTTCAAGACCAGCTTGAACTACAAAATGAGATGATCTCAATTAAAAAAAAAAAAAAAAAAAAAATTCAAAAAAAAGTTTTTTATACTTTTTAATATTAAAGCCTTCATGGGTATATCTGTGCTTCAGTTGCTACCAAATGACACTAACAGTCCCTGGGGTACTAAAATATGTGCTGCCCCAGCTGAGGCGCTAATCTCACTGTGCTTCCTGCAAGGCAGGCATGGGAGAGAAAGCCTCAGAGCTGGTGTTCTGATCTCTGTTCATGGACACAGGTTTACAGACCCCTGTGGTAACGGAAAACAGACACAGACAGACACACAGACTTTGTTTCTTTATTTGAAAAGAAAAAAGAAAAAAGTAAGTCAGCCCGGGCTAGCCAGGTATGGGGAGAGAAAGACCTAAAAAGGCGCAGGTTTTAGCCGAGATTGAGAAGCCGAGGGTACCTGTGAAAGCAGACATCAAAAGTGAATGTCAGTGTCACATTGAATAGTGACTTGGGTTTATAACAGCCATGAGTTTTGTCTTTATATATTAACACATAAAATGATTTAAAACTATACAAGTAATTGCTGCCACAAGAATTTCTTTTATTCATTTGCAATATTACTTGCACACAGAAGCATGCATATTTTTCCAGGTGCTTTCCTGACTGTGTTCTGTAAACACGTATCGTAAATATACAAATATAAATTGTATTCTGCAAATAAATTAGAAAGTTAAATAATCTTAACTTATTAAATTATTAATAGGTTAATTAATTAATAAAGTAGAGGAGGCTCCAGGCTCCTTCTCTACTCTGTGCCTGAAGCAGCAGTGGGTAGGATTCACAGAATGTCCCAGGGGCACTGGGGCCCACACGCTGCCACCCATCTCTGTGTGTCCTCTCATTCCAGTTATGCCCCCAGCAAAGCCACTAAAGCGGCGTCTGTCCTCCTGTACTCCCTGTGGGCACACACGGAGCTCCACAACGCCTACAAGAAGGTAAGGTGCTAAGGCGGGGAGCTGTGGTGACAGAGCCAGGTCGGAATGGCCCCCTCAGCTGGCTCCAGGGAGAAGTAAACGCAATACACTGTCTTGTGAGTTGAGTGTTTCTCACCCTTCACCTCTCCATCTGCTTATCCCAAAGGCTCAGTTTAAGAAGACAGATTTTGTCAACAGCAGGACTGCCAAAGCCTACCACTCTCTTAAAGACTGAGGACAAGGAGTGGACCACAGGGACCTCAGCCAGGAAACCTCATCTTGGCCATGCAGCCCCCCTGCCCCAGGAAAACACCTATTTTTCTACTCTCCAGCCCAGGAATCCCCCCAAAAGAAAGCACGCCTGTTTCTAGCCTTTCCAGTTGCCACGGTCCAGAGACCCAGAGAACAAATAATCAGAACACAGTGATTTAGGCTCCAGAGGACCTTTACAAGTTTGCTACCTGTAGCCACCATGCCCTGCCCACAGTGCTCCTCTGGGGCCACACACACTGGTGGGGTGTGTGAGGGCAGCTGCGGTGTCACTTGGGCTTAAAAAAATTTGATTTATGTTTGTTCTCCTGATTTCTGCACATGCTTCAGCACTGAGTCATGAGTGTTGCTCAGAGACGTTGCAACCCATCAGAAGTGACAAGGAACATCTCAGTCCCACCCCTCCAAAAGTGGGAAAGTGTCACAGAACATCGTTCATTTGCTTTGTATTTGTTTTTATCCCCTCAGCTCTCCCCCCTCACCCCACCCCTCTGTTCCAACTGAACTTGAGAAATTGATACTACAGAAGCATGCAGGACTGTAAGAAAAAGGAATTGGAAGGGCGAGCTCCCAGCGAGTTTACCTGGGCAAATGGGGCTTGTGCTCCAGGAAGAAATGTGAATCTCCTCTAAGTAGCGGGCTCGTGTGTGTGTGTCCTGAGGCCTGGGCCTGGTGGCTTCGGCTGTGGCTGGGGGTGAGGTGGGCTCCGCTCTGGAGCCTGGGCGCACCAGAAGCTCTGTCAGAGCCCCGCAAATGAGCTGCCATGCAGCCCAACGAGTCCACCCCGCAGAAAGAAAGAGAGCCACAAGTCTCCCTGGCTCTGTCTTCCTTACACTTGGTCCAAGTCAAGGAGATGAGAAAGGGACAGTGGACAATTCACCTGGAGGAGCACAGGTGAAGGTGCCCCACCATCCACCAATGACGTCAGGCTGCTGAGCACCCATATCCCCGCTGGATCAGCGTGAGACAGTCATTTCTACGGGGCTGCAAGCAGAGCCCCTGGAGCAGCATCAGCCTTCTCGGCTCCATCCCTGTTATACATTCTGCTTTAAAGAAGTCTGACGCTGTTTGTTACAAGAAAATAAGAGAAGGAAAACGTCAGCTCCTTGTGGCCAGAAAATAATTTCCCATTCCGGTTTTCAGTGTATGCTTCTTTCTTACAATTGGGACATAATAACTGTTTTTCAGTTTTTTAAATTCAGTCAAGGGCTGGCGAGATAGCTTAGCGTTCTAAAGCACCTGATTAGGCAAACTTAAACAGGCGCAGGGGACCACAGTTTGATCCCCGGCACCGCATGCCACACCAGCCCCACCCTCGGGGTGGGCTGAGCTGGCCAAAAAAAATTGAATTAAATAAATAAATAAAATAAAATTCAGTCAAGACAGGCTACGAACCTAAGCCAAAATGAAGGTATTTTGGTAGTTTTTTTTGTTTTGTTTTGTTTTTTTTAAATCCTGAAGAGGGAATTTACATCTTTTCCCCCAGGTTTCTGACAATAAGCATTTAGAGTTTATTTATTTCTCCAGATAAATGATACATGTTCAGAACTTTGTATGTTTTTTAAGGCATTACTAGAGCTTTCGAATATTAAACATGAAATGGAGCAAAAGTGACATCGCGTACACTGGTGTCTATGCTTACCTGACGCGTCCAACTTGGTGAGTATGGTGGATTGGCGCGAGAGCTGGGAATCTGACCTCACAATTTTCAACTGCCAAGTGTCTGATACTTTATAATTATTTATATTTCTTCCCTAAGGTTTCGAGTGGGTTGTTTGGCCATATTAGAGATAAAACCCAGGGCCTTTTCACTGAGCTACATCCCTAGCCCTTTCATTAGATTTTATTTAGAGGTAGGAAAGGTCTTGCGAAGTTGTCCAGCCTGTGCTAGAACTTGCGATCCTCCTGTCTCAGCTCCCAGAAAGCTAGCAGTCCTGGTACTCTAGCAAGAAATATTCCTGTAAGAACCCCGGAATAACTAGTAACAAAAGCCCATTAAAAATGGAGAGATGGGACCATGGAAATAACACTGCAGTTTAAGTATCTGCCTGGCAAGCACAAGGACCCGGGGTCCATCCCCAGTACCTCATGCCCTGCTGGCCACTGAAACCTGGTGTGGTGGTGCCTGCTTGTGATCCCAGCACTGGGGAGGCAGAGACATCAGGATCACTATGAGTCTGAGCTGCGTAGTAAGACCCTGTACCAAATAAGTAATTTTTTTAATTCTTTTTTTAAAAAACTGGAGAGATGGTCCAGCGATGTGTGTGTGGTGCTGGGGATTAAACTCAGGGTCTCATACCTAATAGGCAAGTGTTGTCTCACCGAGATGTAAAATGTGTTGAGGGCTATCAGCTTTAATGGATCAAGTAAATCTGTGTCTACGGAAGACAGGCTGTGTCCGGTAATTATGCCCGGCGTTCTCCCTCCACTTGCACTTCTGTGCTTCATTCTGTGAGTGTCCACGGTGGGGGACAGAAGGCCTCCCAAAGACCCAGGTCAGTTGAGACCACAGGTCTACACACAAGGCTGCTTGGTTATTTCTGTGTATCCCCAGCTGGGCCAAGGCCATCAAAGGAACAGAAAAGCCTTCCTGTTTATTTGTGCCGAGAGTAACAAGGGATTCCTCCCGTGTCAGGAATTGCTAGTGTCCTCTGGAGTCTGGGCACTGCTGCCTTGGGTTCCTCCTGATTAGATGAGCATTGCCTGAGTTAGACAGGAGGGGGAGGAGGAGGAGAGCTTAACAGGCGCAGCTTAACCTCACTCTGAAGAAGCAGTTCCTGGTGGGGGGCAGGGGGGACCGAAAATAAGGTATGTTTATAAGTTTATGTGCATCACAGGCAGTGAGATTTCCTCTAAGTAAATATGTAGATGAATTTTGGTGTTGGAAAGAGGAGGACTTTGGTGCGTGTGTATTTTGAACAAAGCTGCAGGAGCCTCCAGCCATGCAATCTCCGGATTAGGAGGGATTTAGAGGCATCTGGCCAGGTCGTCTGATAAGTATCTTCTGAGTCCAAAGAAAGACTCAACTCTTATTAACTGCACAGCACTAGGGGCATACACAGCACAGCCTCACACGTCGAGGTCCAGCCCCGGGACGAGCCAGCCTGAGCTCACGTGTGGTTTCTCTCGCAATGGACGAGTCCCTTCCTTTCACTAGCCTTGACTTCCCTGGTCCGCCAGAGCGAGGGACAGCAACATTTCTATCATTGGGCTATGTGAGGATCAACTGCTTTCATAAATCCAGAGTACCTAGTGTGGGGCCTTCCCTTCCCACTCAGGAAATGCTGGCGATCGCGTGGCCCTCCGTGCTCTGCGGGTCTTGCTTCTCCTTTTTAATTGCACCTTTTGGAATTTCTGCTGAGGTCTGGATGGGCTCACAGTGCTGAGAAGCGCCCCGCACCCACTGTCCCGAGGCGGGGCTCCCCCGGCCCACGGCGGCCGCTCATGCTGGAAGCCCTGGCACAGCCTGTGCGGTGCAAACCGTCACCTGGTTTTGCTCAGACCACTCTTGGAGCCGTGTGCTTCAAGCTACAAGGTCTAAATCGGCAGCCGGGGGCTCCGGCCCCTCACGCGCTAAGTTCTGCAGGCGGTCTTGGGCCGCAGCACCGAGTGCTGCCCGCGGAGTGTGGAGCACGCTTGCCGGTCTCCAGGCAGGGCTCGCTCCATGCAGCTGGGGAGACGCACACGGGATGGGGCTGAGCGTACTCCCGGCTTGTACTCTCAGAGGCCTGAGTCGCCTCTAGCTGCTCACACTGCACCCATTGGGCAGGAATGAAGAAATAAGTTCACACGGA